CCCCCCCCCAGACCCACCGGTTTGCCAGGAGGGGGTGCGGAACTGGGAGAGGAGGGAGGAGGCCGAGGGGCCGGGTTGGGGCCCCCGCGACTCCAGCGCCGAGATCAGGTTCATCACCGAGGCGTCGGGGGCCGCGCCCCCCGCGTGGTGCAGCCCCGTCTCGAACAGCCCCGACAGCCCTGCGGACACCAGCACACCTTGGGGACATGGGGACAACAAAGGGACACCGAGGGGACACCAAGGGGACATGGAAATATCTTGGGGACACCCCGGGGACAACAAGGGGACACCAAGGGGACACCCAGGGACACCTTGGGTACATCTTGGGAACATGGGGACACCTTGGGGACATGGAAACATCTTGGGGACACCTTGGGGACACCTTGGGGACACCTCGGGGACATGGGGACACCAAGGGGTGCCCAAAGGGACATGAGAACACCAAGGGGACACCTCGGGGACACCTCGGGGACACCTCGGGGACACCACGGCCGTGACAGGGAACATCTTAGGTGGACAAAGGGGGACAGGTCGGGGGGACCCCACGTGGTGCAGCCCCATCTCGAAGAGCCCCGACAGCCCTGCGGACACGGGGACACCTTGGGGACATGGGGACAACAAGGGGACACCGAGGGGACATGGGGACACCAAGGGGACACCAAGGGGATATGGAAACAGCTTGGGGACGCCTCAGGGACACCTTGGGACACCAAGGGGACACCAAGGGGACACGGAGACACCTCGGGGACACCCAGGGGACACCAAGGGGACACCTTGGGGACACCTTGGGGACACGGAGACATCTTGGGGACACTTCGGGGACACCTCGGGGACACGGGGACATCTTGGGGACACCCCGGGGACAACAACAGGACATGGGGACACCAAGGGGACATGGGGACACCAAGGGGACACCCCGGGGACACCAAGGGGATGCGGAGACACCTTGGGGACACCACGGGGACACAGAGACACTGTGGCCATGACCCCCCCAGGGACAGGGGACACCTTGGGGACACTTTGGGGACATGGGGACACCTTGGGACACCACGGGGACACCACGGGGACACAGAAACACCGTGGCCATGACCCCCCCAGGGACAGGGTACACCTTGAGGACGCCTTGGGGACACGGGGACACCACGGGGACACCATGGCCTTGACTCCCCAGGGATAAGGGACACCTTGGGGACACCTCGGGGACACCTCGGGGACACCACAGCCGTGACCCCCCCAAGGACAGGGGACACCTCAGGGCGGTTACGGGAGCAGGGACACCGCGACCCCTCAAGACACGGGGACATGCGGGGGGACACAGGGACTGTGCGGTTGGGGTGACATGGGGACAAAGGGACAAGGGGTCGGGTGACACAGGGACTGTGGGGTTGGGGTGACAAAGGGACTGTGGGGTTGGAGTGACACAGGGACTGTGGGGTTGGGGTGACACGGGGACAAAGG